CCATCCAGAGCCGCCATTTATAGACCAGATACATCCTAAATATAGAACCATTTATCCAACTGTCCATCCAGAGCCGCCATTTATAGACCGGATACATCCTAAATATAGAGCCATTTATCCAACTGTCCATCCAGAGCCGCCATTTATAGACCAGATACATCCTAAATATAGAGCCATTTATCCAACTGTCCATCCAGAGCCGCCATTTATAGACCGGATACATCCTAAATATAGAGCCATTTATCCAACTGTCCATCCAGAGCCGCCATTTATAGACCGGATACATCCTAAATATAGAGCCATTTATCCAACTGTCCATCCAGAGCCGCCATTTATAGACCGGATACATCCTAAATATAGAGCCATTTATCTATCTGTCCATCCCGGTAGAGTCCAGAAAACTCTCAGTTTATTTTTCGCCTACAGGGAAGAGAGTCCTCCGCGGATCACATGACCACATCGACGACAATGGATGAAGACCAAAGTCACATGACTGAGAAGATACTAAACCTTGCCCTTGAGATCATCTACCTGGTGACCGGAGGGGTGAGGAGGATTCTGGGAGGTCACATGACATCACTCTGATCTCTATTCATAAAACACGGACCTGACCAGAGAGGTGAGGAGGATTCCAGGAGGTCTGAAATTATATTCTTTTGTTCTCTCTTTACTCAGGATTATAAAGTAGTGAGGAAAATATCTACTGGGCCATTAACACCCAGTGGAGCACTGCCGGTCAAAGAGCCTCCACCTCACCGTGTGACAACAGAGGTAAAGAGTGCCAAGAAGGTCCTAGAAGTCACCAAGAAGATGATGGAGCTGCTGACGGGAGAGGTGAGCGGTGCCGGGGATTCTGGGACATGATCCAGGAACAGACAAGGGGCGTGTCTGGGTGGTGACGGTATCATTGTGTGTGTCAGGTTCCTATAAGGTGTCGGGATGTCTCTGTCTATCTCTCCATGGAGGAGTGGGAGTATCTAGAAGGACACCGGGATCTCTACAAGGACGTGGTGATGGAGAATGCCCCTCCCCTCACATCACCGGGTAAGAGGAGAGAGCAGTACGGAGGCTCCGCCTACATCCCCCATCATCTGATACACACATAGAAACAATGTATTCAGTCAGTGTGTGTTTCCTACAGATGGATCCAGTAAGAGGAACCCACCAGAGAGATGTCCCCGTCCTCTGTATTCCCAGGACTCCACCCAGGAAGATCTCACCAACCCCCACCATGAGAGATGTCCCCGTCCCCTGTATTCCCGGGATCCCACCCAGGAAGATCTCACCATCCCCCACCATGATCAGGTAGGTGGGAATGAGCATATAGACCTAAAAAAATTCCCAGAGGACCTTCTTCTATGTCATCTCTTTTTACAAATGTTTTCTATTATCATTTAGAGTGAAGAACTAAAACACATCAAAGTTGAGGATAAAGAGGAAGAAGAAGAGACGTTGGTGAGCGGAGCTCAGCAGTCTATGGAGGAGGAGGAGATGATTAGGAAAAGTCAACAAGAGGAATCTTTTCTTCATATAGACACAAGTAAGTTATAAACAATTAATGTGGAGTCAATATAATGTCATGTGACCAACAAATGAGGAGGAGATACTGTACACCATATGAAGGTCCATCTCCATTCCCCAATATAACGTCATGTGACCAACAAATGAGGAGGAGATACTGTACACCATATGAAGGTCCATCTCCATTCCCCAATATAACGTCATGTGACCAACAAATGAGGAGGAGATACTGTACACCATATGAAGGTCCATCTCTGGTCTTCAGTAGGTCTCCTAGAATTGAGGTGGAGGAAGGTCCATCTCCACTCTCACAGTAACAATGACATCAATGTACACACATTCTCTCCCGGTGTAATTTGGGTGAATTGTCTCATTGATCTGATTTGGATTCATAGTTCGGTGTTGCTCCCAATCCCATGGCAGAGCTCGGTGAATGTGTTGAGTTCTGGACCCCCATATATGACTCCGGAATGTAAGACATGAAACGGATCTGTAACATTGTTTCTGGATCTTTCTCTCCTGCAGATGGACATTATGCCGGGAACATGAACACCTCTGAAGGACATCTTATGTTATCTCCGGATTATAATGACCTCAAACATTCTCCGAGAGTGAATCCCATTACTCATAATAGACATCACCGACCTTCCCATTCAGAGAAATCAACAGATCCCTCTAATCCTGAGGAATCTTCTGTAGGACATGAGGGAGACCACACAGGAGAGAGTTCATGTAATGAAATCAAAGAAGTTCCTATACACCAGACGAGTCACAAGATTAAGCGTCAGTTTCCATGTTTAGAGTGTGGGAAAAGTTTCACTGAGAAAAGAACACTTGTCAGACATCAGAGAAACCACACGGGTGAGCGTCCTTATTCGTGTTCCGAATGCGGGAAACGCTTCACTGATAAAATGTACCTTCTTATGCACCAGAGAAGTCACACGGGTGAGCGCCCTTTTTCGTGTTCAGAGTGTGGGAAAAGTTTTGTTCAGAAAGGAAACCTTCTTAAACACCAGAGAATCCACACGGGCGTTCGTCCATTTGCGTGTGCAGAGTGCGGGAAAGCTTTTAGTGAGAAAAAAACGCTCCTTACGCACCAGAGAAGTCACACGGGTGATCGTCCCTTTTCGTGTCCAGTCTGTGGGAAAAGTTTCACTGCAAAAGGAAACCTTATTAGACACCAGAGAAGTCACACGGGTGTACGCCCCTTTTCGTGTGCAGAGTGCGGCAAATGTTTCACTTCTAAAGGGGGTTTTCTTATACACCAGAGAAATCATGCAGGTGAGCGCCCTTTTTCATGTCAGGAGTGTGGAAAATGTTTCCCTTTGAAAGGAGACCTTCTTCAACACCAAAGGATTCACACAGGTGATCGTCCATTTTCATGTTCGGTGTGTGAAAAATGTTTCACTGCGAAAGGAAGCCTTGTTAAACACCAGAAAATTCACACGGGAGTGCGTCCTTTTTCATGTCCAGAGTGCGGGAAATCTTTCACTGCGAAAGGAGACCTTCTTCAACACCAGAGAAGTCACACGGGGGATCGTCCTTTTTCTTGTTCAGAGTGTGGAAAAAGTTTCACCGCAAAAGGAAGCCTTCTTACGCACCAGAGAAGTCACACAGGTGAACGTCCTTTCTCTTGCTCAGAGTGCGGCAAATGTTTTGCTCAACGAGGACACCTTCTTAAGCATCAGAAGATTCACACTGGCGTGCGCCCTTTTTCGTGTTTAGAGTGCGGGAGTTCCTTCTCTGTGAAGGGTGACCTTCTTCAACACCAGAGAATTCACACGGGTGAGCGTCCTTATTCGTGCTCTGAGTGCGGGAGGTGTTTCACCGCCAAAGGAAACCTTCTGAAACACCAAAGGAGTCACACGGGTGAGCGTCCTTATTCCTGCTCAGAGTGTGGGAAATGTTTCACTGTGAAAGAAAACCTTCTGAAACACCAGAGAAGTCACATGAGCTAGCGTCCTTATTCATCCTCGTTGTACGGGAAATGTTTTCTCTTATTCAAAGCCAGAGAAAACATGGAAATTAATTCTCTCCACTTTCAAGGCTAATAGGCGAAGAATTGTCAAACAAAGAACATGGGGGCGGG